CAGCAGGGCAGGCCCTATGAGGAGAGGCTACAGGACCTGAACCTGTTCAGCCTCCACAAGAGAAGGCTGAGGGGGGATCTAGTGGCCTGTTATAAACTAGTCAGGGGGGATCAATAGGCATTGGGGCAGTCCCTGTTCCCCCGAGCACTGCCAGGAGTGACCAGGAATAATGGTCACAAGCTGGCAGAGGGTAGATTTAAGCTAGACATCAGGAGGTGCTACTTCACGGTCAGGGCGGCTAGGATCTGGAACCAACTTCCAAGAGAAGTGGTGCTGGCTCCTACGCTGGGGGTCTTTAAGAGGAGGCTAGATGAACACTTTGCTGGGGTCGTTTGACCCCAGTACTCTTTCCTGCCATGACAGGGGGTCGGACTAGATGATCTACTCAGGTCCCTTCCGACCCTAGAAACTATGAAACTATGAAACTCGCTTGCTGATTCACTGAGGGGAAAATAATCACAGACTAAATAGCACTGTTTTAGTTAAGCAGTATGAGATCTCCCTCTACTGGGTATAATGGGATTGTTTTCATAGATAATAAAGCTAGAAGGAATCACTGTGATCATCTTAGTCTGGCATTCTTGTATGTAACATAATAAATGGAGGTCAAAAAGCAGCTGCCTGTAACCCACAAGAGAGTAGCAGTAACCCCAGGTAAGTAGGCCATGGTGTGAACTGATTTTTTAACATTTGAAATTCAGCTGTTCCTTTGGGTAGAGGTACTGAACTTCTAGACATCCCCTCATTATTAGAACTTTGTCAACTTCTGTCTTATATAAATGTACTTGACAAATGCTGCCCATTGTAACTCTCTAGTTTAAAATATTAGTTCTTTACATTGCCTCAGATGGCGGCTTTGCTATTCTTATGAAGTTCAGATAGTACAGCTCTTGGATATCTATGTGCTTAAACAAACAATTATTCCTTAATAGGGTCTCAAGTTTGAATTGAAGGTGAAAAATCTAGCATCTTCAGATTCCAGAGGTTATGATCTGCAAAAGGAAATAATAGTAAAGGTGATGCACAAAATTACTAAGCAGGTGAGGAGACTGGGCTTTGTGTGCTAATAAGAGAGTTCACTGGGGAAGGTGCAGAGTACAAATGACATTATTGTCAAGTAAGCCACTGCATGCCGTGTTCTCTGTGTACAAAGTAGGAGCCCCCTCCTGATTTCTTTCTTATTCGTACACTTAAAAAACCTCTCTGCAGGTACTGTGTCTGTGACTTTCTACTGTCTCTACAATCAAGCTGTGGCCACAAACCAGGTGTTCATTTCTATTGGTGGAAGTGTTGACCATTAAGAATCTTTCCAGGAGAGGAAGCAATACAGATGTCGAGCCTGCAGCTGCGCTCTCTCTCCTGCTCTTCCGAACTTTCCCAGACTGAGGTGATCCTGATCTGGGGAAGATGTGAGCCTGCTCCACTCCTCCCAGTCCTTCGGGGCAGTGGAGCAACAGATTGGGATCTAGGGAATGGGTGGAAATCAGCCTCCTCCACTCCACTCCTGCTCTCTGGGAGCAGAGCAAAGGGACCACTGAGGCAAAACCCTCAAGCCAGACAGTGCTCAGTTTGGGGAAGGGGCTGTAAGCTTTACTTACTCCTCCCTTTCCTTCCTAGACTGGTCTGGGAGGGGAGAAGCAAGGTAAAGCCCCCTGCCTGTTCCTTACATCAAGGACCCTAGTCCAGGGAGTAGGCAGGGATCTGCTTCTCCTCCACTCTGCTTCCAGTTTCAGATGGGGTGGCATTGCTGTTGCTCCCTCCACTTGGCTCCCTGGCTCTGCCTGCTTCCCCTTGCCCCTCATGCCACATTTAAAAGCCAACAGGGCCGAGATGTTCTCCAGGCTTAGGGGTGTTCTCCATGAGCCCACTTTCTGGGCCTGACAGCTTTTTAAATCACTGCCTCCACCACCCAGCTGAGCAGTACAGGCAGCAAGGGGAAGCCCGCAGCACTATATCTCTGCAAAGCCCTCTGCCTCTTCCTGAGACTGGGAGGCAAAGAGTGGTGACTGCTGCTTCCCTCCTCTCCCAGACCAACAAGGCCTCCAGCCTGCATCTCACTCCAGGACCTCCGAAGGAGGCAGAGGGCTTGCAGAACTGCTTGTAGAAGTGCCCAGGAGCTGAGTGGGATAGAGCAGCACAACAAAGTAGTGGCCCACTTCTCACACTGGAGTCCCTGGAGGGTGAGGAGCTGGTAGGGAGCAGCTGACAGCTGCTTCTCTCCTCCTGTCTCAGTCCATGAAAGGGCAGGAGCAGCTCCCCACCCTGCTTCTTTACCAGAACAGGGTGACCCCAGTCATGAGAGCCTTTCCCCCAGCTTCACTCCTCCTGCTCCCTGGAACCAACTTCTTCCTGGTTGGCGTCAGTTTATCTTTGTCCCAGAACTGCCATTTTTGGTCCAGGAGAAAGTGTGAATGTTTGTATACTTGCAGTTTCTATCAGGAGAATGGGCATTCTCCCTTTAGAAACTGAACATCTGGCCACTGTGTGGTCTGCAGTGCTGTATGTATTTGCCACCTACACAGACTCCCATATCTGATCGGTTCACACTGAATCTGTTCTTCCCCTTTACAAACTCCTGCAACTACCAGCAAGTGTGCCTCTATTAAGAGACCACTTTTGTATATTCACCAAGTAGACTTTGAGCCTTCCTTTGATTTGAGCCCACAATTAGATATAATGAGACTTCTGCTCTATTCTCTGTTTCAGCAAACTGGTACAGAGAAGCTGGTGGAGAGCTAAGAAGAGTTCTTGAACTCTCTCCTTAGCCAGGGTTTAAAAGCAGAGAAATATGATGCAAGAACCTCATGGGCACGTCTTGCTGTGCTTTCGCTCTTGATCATTCACTGTTGCTGTAGCAGCGAGGGTGAATCTGGGGGTGGGGTTGCACCCCCCTTTGATTCTTGCTCCATCCAGACTTTAAAACCAACTGCCTGACAGTGGCAGAAGCATTTCAAGTCAGGCAGTGCTGAGGAAGTCAGCTGATGTCATGGCTCATTCTAATTTAACTGATCCCTTCTACACTCTTCATTCCATGGGTATTAACGACCCTCTCTTCTTTTTAATGGTTTTGACGTTCCACCAATCAAGCTACTCTTTCTTTTGCAATTTTACTGTTAGTTGCTCCTGGTAATGAAGCTCCTATTTCACCATACTGCAGATTTGTTTTTTTAACTCATTCCAATAAAGTTGTATTTGTTTTTGCTCCAATCTTAAACTAAATGATACAGCCCTAGGCCCCTAGCTTATTACTAAAGCTTTGCGGTTATTATTAACTGGAGAACAATGTGTTGTGCTATATGTGATGATGCACCTCACCATTTGCACTCCCCATTTCAAAATTCTGCACCCATGGTAGCAGCACTGTAGTATCATTAGTACCTACAATGGTGAGATGGCTAATCTATATTAAACTGGAAGCACGACTTTCATTGTTGTGTCAAGACCTGCTTTGATGAACTATCTTGGATGTAACTGATCACCAACTACATAGCAACTAACGAGGCAAAAGTTCAGCATTTAAATAATAAAGGAGAGGTTCCACTTACTAAGTTTCCCTTTTAACCAAACACATTGCAGCTGCTTGTTTGTCATCACTTTACCTTGTACACTGGGGATATTTATTATTTTAGACATCAGGCATCTAGGGATTCTGGTTTGGGTTTGTCCCTAATTTTATTAGCTGACTTGTTTCTTACAAGAACACTTCGTAACATTTCTGATCATTTTCTGGATCTGGAGCAGCTTCCCTGACCTGAACATCTGCACTCTGTGAAGGGTACAAGTTGTAACATGTAAGGATTTTTTTTCCCTAAAGCTTCCCAGCTCTTCTGCCTGCCCAGATCTGATGCACACGAGCAATCTAATTGGGTCACTCATTAGCTCTCCAAATGGAACATCTTAAACACGAGAGACTGGAGGAACAAACTCATCCCACAGTCTCTCAAAGCCAAGTAGTTGGGACACTTTCTCATTATGTGTGAGATACATTTAGATACCTGCTTCAAATCAGGCAGAGAAGAGATTTGAAAACAGGTTTCCTACCTCCCAGATAAGAGTCTAATGGCCTAGCTTAAGAACCTGTCTGCAGCAAAGTACTCACAGCAAGAGATAGGTGCTTTTAGTTATGTTCCCCTAAATTTCTCAATCCTGTGCCCCTTCACTCCATCCTTAATTGTTTCCACTTACTGCTGGCTTAGCCTCCCCACACAATACACTTTCCCATGGATTTCACTCTTAGGCACCTTCCTCTTCCCATCCTGCAGAGATAAAGCCTGGAGCCCTGTCTCAGGGTTGTGGATTCTGCCAGGGAACAGGGGTCCTAAAAATTGAGTCCCTTTGCAGATGTAACTCCTGATGCCCAGGATTGTGGCATTGAGGGCAATTGGAGCTTCCTTTTTCAGCCAAGGTTCTTTGGATAAATGTGATATCTTTTATTAGACCAACTAAATAGTTGGAAAAATTGTTGTTTGAAAATTTTCAGGCATAGGTAGAGTGCTGTTGTGTTGTGTTCTCCTTGCAAAGAACAATTTTCCAACTATTTAGTTGGTCTGATAAAAAGATCACATTTATGTAAAGAACCTTGTCTGCCTACGTCTTTAGACTAACATGGCTACAACCAACACCTCCTTTTTCAGCTTCACTTATGAAATTGGCATATGCTGAAAGGCATGTTTGTCCCTACTGCCCATAATCAGAGCCAAGCACAAGAGGATAGACAAGGAGAGGAGCAGAACCTGAAAGATAGAAGCCAGAGCCCTTCTCGGAATCCGCCTGCCTCACTAGTTCTCTCTCCTCCTGCACTGGAGAGCTGCAGTATGCATATGAAGAGCTGCAAAAACAGAACAGGGTGGAAAGCTGTCCTGAAGCATGGGGGGAGGGATGGAAGGGGGGAGATTTTCCTGACAGAGTGCAGCAGGCCCCCTCATGCCTCTGATTGGCCAAGGGGCCCTGGAAGTCCCTGTCCTCCACTCCAAGGCTGACAGGTGGCACTCAGTACTGCACTCAGATCACAAAATCAGGGGGTAGCCACCCCAAATTCAGTAGGTCGCTATGTATAAGCAAACCCTTAGACGCTTAAGTAGAGAGGAGAGTTTTGGGCCATGAATTTGGCAGGATTTCAGATGCATGTCTCCCTGCAGCATTTCCTTGCAGCTGGTTAAGGTGTCCCTTTCCTCTGTGTGTTGGCTCTTCTGAATTTCATCCCCATGTCCTGTACAGGCAATTTTAGCGCCTAATACAAGTTTGTGAGACCCTCTCCTGAGCTGGCCTCCTACAGGTTGGGTGTGGCAATGCAAAGTGCCACCAGGTGTCAATCCCTTTAAAGAGCTGGATCTTTGTGCTCATACACTCCTGAATATAAGACATTTTGCACCCTAAAAAGGAAAAAGATGTGACACTTCTAGCTGATCAAACAAAAACGCAAAAATAGAAAAGTGAAAATGAGAGTGTTAAGGGGGTTAGTGATTCATCAGCACTGTCAGGTGGGATCTGCCTGCCCTTGAGGGTCTATCTGGTGCCAAAACCAAGCAGTGATGTTGATAGCTTAACTTCCTACTAGCAGGTGATTTCTGGTGCAGAGAGCTTGGGAAGGAGAAAACTAATGATTTGTCCATTGAGTCAGTAATTTCCTTACCCCAGATTCAGGAGACAGAAGTCAAACTCTTGCCACTGATATGCTCAGGGTTTCTGGTCTTCATTCACTCTAACCTGTCCTGGCCCTTGTGTCAGTCAGGTGTACAGCAACCAAATTCAACTGAGGCACTGAACAATAGAAAAATGCTATCTCGGGTGGAAGTTTTTTCTTAAAATATGTGCAGCAATGCAGTCAATCCTCCTGCCCCCCCTTGGATTCCTACTCTGCCCAAAATTTAAAACCAACTGGCACAGCAGCGACAATAGCATTTTTATAAAGGAAGCACTGAAGGAGTTGATTGATTTCATGGCTCGTTATAATCTACTTGATTCCTGCTAATCTCTCTTCACTCCACATGTGTTAATGACCCTCTGTCCTTTTTAATGGTCTTAAGTTTCACTAATCAAGCGATCCTTTCCTCTGCAATGTTCCTGTCTGTTAGCTTCTCCTATTTCAGGGCCCTGCAGACTGTTTTTAGCTACAGCTAAAACATTAATTTAAAGTGTGGAAACATTAACTCTGGTGAACATAAACTCAGGTATGAAAATAACTGAGTGAAGTTGGATGCACTCGCAAAAGATAGATTTTGTTTTATGAATCTGAATAAAAGATATAAATTTAATTCTAATGGCTACAAAACTACTGAAACAATATCTTTTATTATTTTTGCGCGGTTTGTTGTGGGTTGTTTAATAATAATAATGTGCATTCCAATAAAGCTATATTTGTTTTTGCTTGGATCTTAAACAGAATAATATAGCCCTAGGCTCCTAGAATATTAGTAAGGCTTTTCTAGTTTCTTTTTTAACTGGAGAAAAATATGTGGTGTTTTATATGTGATGATGCACCTCATCATCTGCACCCCGCTTTTCAAACTTCCAGGTGCACCCATGATCAGAACAGTCATTCTAAAGACATGGCCTTTACCTTGTCCATTGAGTGCAAACTGGCATGAGCCCACAGGCAGTGCTCTTGTGAGAAATGAAGCTTCAGAATCTGCAACAGTAGCTTTTGTGATAGAAACTCTGGCAAGCACCAGCCGTTTGATCACTCACTCCATCAGCATTTTTACAAACAATCTTGATGTATCATCACAAATACCCTATTTTTTTTTTGCAACCAAGGCAGTTACCAGCAGGCACTCTTAGAGATGAACAAAGGTTATGATAAGTGGTCTCATAGGATTTTTTTGCCTGAAAAGCTAAAATATTACTCTATCAATATAAATTGCATTTGAAATAAAAATGATTCAGATCATTGCTAGGACATTGCCCTTTTATGGACATTGCCCCTAGTCTAACACCAGGGAAGTATACTGTGTGTATGTCAGTGCTGACACTGAAGGACTACGGTTGGTGTATTAAAGCAGGCAATCTTCTTTCACTTACTTATATTCATGCTTTTGATACAAATAAGGTTATGAGTACAGCTCCAAATTTTAATGCTTGTAAAACAAAATGCTGAAAAAACACAAGTTAAATGAAGATACCTAGCACGTCTAAATGAGGCAAAATAAGAATCCCTGGGTCTGTAGTGTGAAATCAACAAGATGAAATCCAAGCAAGTACAAAATACAGCACTTAGGAAACCAAAATCAAATGCACATATACAGCATGGAGAATAATGAGTGAAGCAGCAGAACTGCAGAAAGAGACCTGGGGGTCTGAATGGTACTGTATATAAATCAGCAATGTGACACTTTTGAAAAAAGGCGTATCTCATTCTGAGGCATGTTTTAATGAGAACATTGCATGTAAGACCCTAATATTCATTTTTTCCTAGTTGGTGCTATTGAAGTTTTAGGTGAAATAACATGTCTAGTTTGAGATACCACACTTTATGAAAGATATAGGGGTCAGACAAACTGCAAAGTGCAAGAAAGAGCACCAAAAATAAGGGGTGTAGAAAACATGCTCTTCAGTGATTCTATGCCTTGTGTGGTTCATTAAGTCACCTTTCCTGTGCATCTGTAGGTATGGGTGTGGTCAAAGGCCAAGTTCATCAACAGGAAATTCTTAATGGAGGAACTTTATCAGCACTTTCTAGATGGAGAGGACATGCATGTGGAGCAAGACAATGATCCATTTTGGGATCCTGTTGAGGTTATTCATTTAGGATCTGCTCACATTTGGCTTCAGTCACTCGCTTACTGCATGAAGCTGGAAGAACAAACAGAGCTTCTGAACTTCGAAGGACAGGAGGAGGCTGTTGTACTTATAAATGTAGTGCCGTGTTCCAGTGATGGAAGGTTCAAGTTCCCCTTTTCCTTCTTTATTCTTCTATTCCAGTTTAGGAAACTGTGTTGATATGTTTGGCTGGAAACGGAGGGTTAAAATACTGAGCAAGATATGAAAACGATGGAATCAAAGGGTGTGAATGAGAGCAGGATTTGGGTGGAGGGAAAACCATGTAAGTCCTGGTTAGTCATGATGTCCCTGAGGTTGCAATGCTGTGAAGAAACAGTCCCTGGGAACTTGAAGTCCCCTGAACTGTTACCAAGGTCCCACTCTGCCTGAGTGAAAACATAGCATTACCAGACTCCAAGAGGAGTTGCTTCCATCCTTTCTTGCCAGATGGAGATGGGTTCTTGCAAGGAAGAAGTGCCTTAACAGGAAACTAAAAATAGCAACAGGTCCTTTTTTCAACTTCTTGCACTTTTGTCTTCTTTAGAACTGTGTGTGCATGCATGCGTGTGCATAAATGTGTGAGCAGCCATGTATCTGCTTCCATGGCTCCTCTGTCTGTATGACTGGAACGTGCTATAGATTGGAGGGTTACGAAGAATACTTTTCAGCTCATGTATCTGCATAAAAAGTTACCCTTCCCTCTGTTCCCGGTTCCCTGATTCACTGTTACCAGTCTCTATTTTTGGTGGAAGAAGAGCGCCAGATATAATCACTTATGTCATTCTGCCTATATTTGTAGAGCCTTTGAAGAGGATGATGTGGTCATTGACCCTTTGGAGTTGCTGGGAAGGCAGATCGATTTCCAGATTCACATTGTGCAGTGTTTTGGAGTCAGATGGCTGAGAGACGTCTCTGACAGGGGGATTCAGATTGGGTACTGTGCTGCACCAGTTTCTTGCTTTCTTCACAAACACATTCAACTTGACTCTTTGGTGAAAGCCAAGGGAGTTTCATGGTGATCCTAATAGCCACTACCAAGTGCCTAAGCTACTATTATATGTTTAGCTTTAAGCTGCAAGATCAATTTGCTTCTGAACCCGAGACATTACAGGAGGTGCTCAGCCGTTCTCTTAAAGGATACTTTAATACTAGGAGCAAAGGCGTACTTAGCAAGAATATTTCTGAGCTCTTATTTCAAACAATGGTAAATTTTCTCAGTAAATGGGAGGGAAAATTGTTCCTGTGGATTGAGGTGGCGGATGACGCTTTAGGCTACATAATACAAAATAGTCATGCATGATTAAAGCTTTTTGAGCAAATGCATTTTTGACTTGGTGACAAACTGCTACTGTCAACAAAACTCACCAAAAATGAATCAAGTGAAGTAATATTCTCACATAGTGTGGGCGGTCTAAGCCTGCACAAAGCATTTTGTTCAATATGAGGAACAGCTGACCTTGAAATGTATTTGTGATTTTCTTTCTTTGCTCACAGAGCTGACCTTTTCAGGGACTGAGCTGGGTTTTTAATTATATCTGTTGTTAATGTTTTATCCCCTTAGGTACAGAGTTTATGACCTTCCACGATCTGTGTACACAAAGCCTGTCTGGAAAAGTGTGAATCCAAAGATAGAAGAGAGAACACATTTCTCAGCCCTCACTGTATCCCATGATTTTTTGAATTATTTACAGAAAAATGCTTTAATTGTTGATCTCTGGGGCCTTCAAGGTATTTCTTTGCAATGTATTTTTTTTATTTGTGGTTGTTTTCTGTGGCTGCAGGTTGTAAACATCATGCTGCAGCAGCATTTTAGAAAAGCAAAGGCTCCCAGTGACGAGGCCTGGCCTGCTAACTCACAGTATTGCGGCCCTTAAGTCCCATATGTCAATTCTGAAAGCTTGACTGAGGTTTGTCTCTGTAACTTTAGTATAAGTTAACCTTACCTGCTCAGAGATGATCTTTTAAATCATGAAGCTGTGTGAAACAGCTCACCTCTAATACTCTGGTAGTACGTTTTTACAGCATGACTGGTAAACTTAACACAAAGTATGTCTCTCTGTGCTTCTGAGTGGGAGAGAAGCATTTATAACTCTCGATCTATGGATGGAAAAAAGCAGAGAGCAGAGACGTTCAGTCATCTGAGCAAGTGTGTATGTAGCAAGAGGTAGGGAAGCTGAGATCTGGTCTACACTCCGAATGCCTATGCCATCTAGAAGCCCAAGTAAGTTGCACACTGTCCCTAATATGCCTAGTGTAGATGCAGCTAAAAGAAAAACGTCTTCATTTTTATCTTTTTGGGAGTGGTGAAAAATTCCTGGTGACACGAATCATGTCCACCAGGGACCCTGCTGACATCACTGTGCCAGCATGGCTGCAGCTGCAGACCCTTCAGTGTAAGAAATTCCAGTTTTAAAGTCATTGATTAGACCCAGTGATTCTCAACCTTTTTAGACTCATGCCCCCCACCCCTTAGACACAAGGCACCCCATGGAAAATGCCAGCTCTGGGTTTTCATTTGTATTTTGACTACAGAAAAATAACAGAGCAGGTTTTCTGTTGCAAAGAACTCATCCCACACCTGGTCGGAATGTATTGAACTCTACGGATTCCTGTTTGACATCTCTGGCTGTATCCTGTGAATCATGTTTGCGCACCTCACAGTGCTACCACTGTGTAGCACCTCGTGGCACCCCTGAAAATATATGTGGGCGAGAATAGATTAGACCAGGGCTTGGCAACCCCCAGTAGGCGTACTAGCGTGGGGTATGCGTGCCTTGGGGTGGAAGGCAGGGAAGGGGCTGAGACTACGCGGCCATAAGGATCAGGTCCCTTATAGCTTCCCCACTGTCCTCCTGTAGGTGTGCATGCACCCACCACCAGCAATGAGCAGCCTGGGCTCTGTGGGCTGTGAGCAGCTTGGGCCTGCCCAAAACCTGGGCTGGCATGGCAGGTGGCTGGGAGGCTGCAAGCAGCTGCACCAAGATCTTTGGAGCCCTGGCCCAGCTCGTTGCTGGCACTGGGTGCATGCGTGCCTTAGGGCGGATGGAGGGGAAGGGGCCAGGACTGCACTGCTACAACCAGGATCAGCCCCCATGGTGGCTCCCCCACCATCCACCCCTGGCATGCCAACAAGTCGAGGTCGGGGTGTTTTTGGCACTCTGCCCCAAAACATTGCTGACTGTGGCTTAGACGGTATTTATTCCCAGTTCTCTGGCAAGTTTCTTCTTGATAGATGCCTCCATTTTGGCACTGCAGTGTTAGCTGGGCGATCTACCTAGAGAAGGCCAGGCATCTAGGATCCCTTTACCATGAATGGCGATCATTCACTGCCTTCAGAGGGCAACCCAGAGTGCCTGCATGAGTTCTGAATTCAGGTCCCTGATGCCCTTTATTAACCAATGACAGCCTGGTGTAAAACATAGAGCTGGGAGCAGGAATTGAAACCCAGGGATCCTCCTGCAGTCAGGCAGGCACCCTCTTGCTTATTCGTCTTCTGGCCTCAGGTTTCAGTGGGACTTCAGCAAGAGGGGCAGAGAGCGCCCACCCACCTGTGCCCACATGCTAGTGTTTAGGCACGTAGAGGCTAGATTGGAACAGGCTTTTAGCATGTGGAAACGCCTAAACTGAGACACCCTGGGAACTTTCAAGGTGAAGTAGAGGCATGCATTGACTGCAAGCACCTAGATGGCTTTGCAGTATCTGACGAGGGTTGATGTCTGGACCACCCTTTACAATTTAGATGCCTAAATTCCATCTATGTCCTATTCAGACACTTACAAGAACCCACTCAGTCTGGGGTGGGGCAGAGTCTGGAATGCGTGCACGAACTAGCAAATGTTCATAGGTAATGAGAGCTACTGTTTTCAATAAAAAATAGAAAGAAAAGTTAAATATACAAACACTGTAAAAATAAAAGTGCTGAATAAAAATAGCATTCCTGTTCTAGTCTGGAATTGTATTAGCCAAAGCAAAGCTAATCAATACCCGTATTATTTTGCATACCACATGCCCCCAACTAAGATGCGTGTCTTGTTTTTTAACAGAATGTAGAAAAAAGGATTATTTTCCAGGGCTGTGGCCTAGAGCTGGCTTTCTCATGGAGGGGTCATGCTGAAAATGGCTGTAGCTTCTCTCAGTGAGCAGGCGGCAGTGGCAGACTCCAGTGTTAACCCTTTGAGGGTTTGACTTTGCAAACAAAAGCTGCTACTGATTTGTCATCAGCTGTGAAAGGGTTAACACTGGACTCCACCCCTCCTGTGCGCTCACTGAGAGAAGCAGAAGGCACTTTACAGCACCGCCTCTCCATGCTTCTACTCCTCCGGGCTTCTGTTCTGGTGAAGAAAATCAGCTTCCCCACTTATGCACCCCAGTTTTGGAGGGCTGATTTTTGGAGAAAGGGTGCATGTGGTATATGAATAAATTTAGTATTCTAGAAATCTCCCTCTTCAAGGATATCTGTTTAGAACTTGTAGGCTTACAGTGCATGCATGTAAAGATCTTCAGCTGTATTGCTAACATAACTCCTTGTTAAATGTGGGGTTACAATTAACTGATACAACTACTTAACATCTTACCACTTGTATTTACTTTTAATTATACAAAAATGTATTAGAGAATAATTGGGGGAAAAGAGAATTATCATTATAAATACAGAGACTTGGTATCATTTTAGAATGAATTTGCATTTATTTTCCTCTGTTTCTTGCACTTGACATGCAATAAAAGCACAATTGTGAAGAGAACAGGACGGCATTGTCTTAACCACGTTATGTCTTTCCTGCAATGCAGAGGGGTGCACAGAGCTAGACTGTTCCCTCCAAGGCTGCAGGGTCACAAGTGAGGGCACCATTATTGTCGATAGCCCAAAAGATTTGAATGCATATGATATTAGTCTGGTAAGTGCACCTGAATTACAGATTACATTTTTTGATAACATCACGTTGTTCACAAAAGTAGTCCCTTGACTTTAATGGGACCGTGTCAGCAGTTAAAGGTTGCAGAAAGGGAACCCAGTATGTACAGTATTTCATCTGGGTGGCAGTGAGCTATACCTCCAGCGTAGCACAAGGGGTGGAGGGAGGGCAGATTTCTTAACCCTGTTAACCACAAACCAAAATCTTGAACCAGGCCACATGGTTTTTGAGATGTGCATGGTCCAGAGGTAGTGATCTACACACAACACCCCACTTCAAAGGAGAACTTGTCACCAAACAGCTTTTTGGAATAAACAAGCAACAGCTGTTGCTTGTAGACTATCCATAGTTTCATAGTTAGTAGGGTCGGAAGGGACCTGAGCAGATCAAGTCCAACCCCCTGCCATGGCAGGAAAGAGTACTGGGGTCAAATGACCCCAGCAAGGTGATTGT